AAACGTCTATGACTGTAAATAGTATATGTCCGTGTTTCGCATTTAAACTCTTGATGACCCTATCGATGTTACAGTGTTAAATGTTCTTGTACAAGATCTCATGATGAGGACTTAAGTCCTTAAAACCCGTAATCCATAAGGACTAAACAGGATCAATCTGGCAGTACTGAGGTAATTTTATACCTTTTATAGTTGGTTCATTGATCTTGAGACAAAACAACTCAAATATGAAAATGAATATTATGTTATTGATATGTTTTAACGTAAACAGTAGGGCAATTACAATGTTGGTCATAATTGTGTTTATACAGTAGGCCAACATTTGGTGGCTTTTGTTCATAAATTCGGACTACTTAACAACTGTTTGGATTAGGCGGTATAGTTCATCTTCCCGTTGTGAAGCACGGGCACAGAAGCTAGTAAATTATTAAGTGATTTAATAAATAACTCTATATATAATATTTACAACAAACTATACCTTCAAAAAGCTGGCTGTTTAACGGATGATATGGCAGACATACACTTATCTCACTAGGTGCTCTTCCTTAAGTTCTTTTACGGAGTACAGCGGCCTATAATTAGTATTCCTTTCAGCGCCTTCTGAAGGAGGGTGCATCCATCTCCTGCAAATGAGCAGGCAGTTATGAGTTGTAGTTAATAGTAGAACGAGGATAGCTATTCTAGGTACATTTTAGACGACAGCAGGAAAAGTCTATATTTTGTGCTCTTCTGGTATAGTACTCCTGCACCCCAGTGGCGGATCCAGAGGGGGGGCAGTCGCAGTTTGGAAATATATGTCATATATTTTTGACTGCATGTAATACAGTAGTGCATACAAATTGCGTAAAATAATTTGTCACACTAACTTAGGACAAAGAAATGGTATAAAACTGCCATTTTTGAAGACTTAGTTTAAACAAATATTTGGGGAGGAAGGGGGTACCCCCGAACCTCTCAGACACCCCGGTCCCCCCCCCCTTGTGACTGTTCTAGATCCACCACTGCCTGCATGTCATCTTTTCTAGGGTCAGGATATCAAGCACTACGCCGTGAGTACCCTTAAGCTACATTTCCATTCCTACAAGTCGCAGGCACAAGTCGAGGCACATGTCGAGACCATGACGAGGCACATTTCGCACGTAGTTTGTCATGCCGTTTCCATTCCAGGCACAAGTCCCGCGACTACAACTGGCAGACAAGGCAGTGTTCTCTACTAGGGTTGCTTTCAGAGAGGTGAAAGCCAGTTGAGCGGAACAAACGTGATTTGATATTTGTATAAGTAACTAAATAAATGTAAAAAAGTCAATAGACGTACTAATGCTTGTTTTATTGATTAAAATTATAATAATTCAGATTTGTTTTTACTACATCTTGCTATTCAGATACCTCTTCCAAAAGTGCATTATGGTAGTTTTGACCAGGAAAATATTATCAGTTTATTTAGTGCAACACAAATAAACAACCCGATCACCTACTTATAACCTACACTTGACCTCCCTAATCTAACCTTACTTCAAAACACTTAATGTAGTCAGGAATACTCATAAACCCCGACCTACCTTCCCCACATGCCTAAATTAGATGAGTGTTCAATCTGCGTTTTATTAATAAGTGTAATAACTTACTGCACCGTCGATGTAATTCAACATAATATAACCTGTGATGTATTATCGGATTAAATATCGATTTCGATGCGGTTTGATATATCGCTTATTAAATCCTGATTTCTAACATTGGCTGTTTCTAATCAGCTGGCAACACAAATAGGTTCCCAAGAAAGTAGTCACTGGTCCGTATCCCTCCGCTCCTTGTTTATGCTCCGCGCATTGAGAAAGTAGTTCCGTATATTTTCTCGATTTTCAGTGAATTCCGCGCCTTAAAAAAATGTTTTAACGGCATTTTCTTGTTTATTGAAATCATAGGAATGGTTTAAAAACGTTTAAAAGAAAACTCTAGAAAGTTCAGAAATACCTTATGATTCTCTTGTTTACATTTTTCTTGTAAACAAAAAACTGTCATATGGCTACTTTAGTCCCATAAGCCTAATGTTAAAATTTTGAAATTTTAAGTTCGTTTTAAATTGCATTAGCATTATCTAATTGAAATTTGTTTGTTTATTAACCATCTCACTATTAGTCTAAGTAATCTTGTTAAGTTTGGCTGAAATGTGTTCTGCCATTATTGAGTGATGTTGCTTTATTTGTTGCATTGAAGTTGATCCCAAAGAGCTACGCTCGCTCCGCTCAATTATTGTGATGTGGTGAGGTTCGGTGGCTGATTTTGATTATATTGTGTTCTACAAATCACCATGGATGACATAACAGCCTCTGCTTTTTTATTTATGGCTGGTGCATACAATGAACTTAGAAGAAAACTACCTAGATAGTGGATAAGAAGTTTTTTGGCTAAAAGAGCATTGGAAGGTGCATTTAATCAATTGATGAGAGATTTGCACGTACAAAGTGGCTTCGAAAATTTCCTCCAACGGACTCAACGAAATTTGAGGTTATGATTACCTGTCATTTATGAGCATGCGGTAGTTTGGAGGACCTGCGCATGCGCGAGTTGCAGGCACATGTGCCCGCGGCCCGGGCACATGTTTTGTCGCGCAGTCGGCGAGCACAAATTTGTGCCGCGACTTGAGCCAGGATGTTTCCATTCCTACAAATTTGGAGATTTGTGCCGGCACAAATTTGCAGGAATGGAAACGTAGCTTAAGATCCTTTAAGATTGGCCGGCAATGATCCAAATGCCGAACAACTGTAATAATCCTAAAGGTTCTGGACAGCATCGTTGTATCATCTGCAAATAATATGTTTTCCCATTCAGATTAAGGCAGGATTTTGTATAGGTTAGGCCTAACTTATACCCTTAACCTCATTGACGGGTAGGGCAGTCAAAATCAAAGCAAAAATTAAAAGCCGAGTAGGCTAAGTTTATGGGAAGATTTCATTAGCTTAGTGTAGCCTAATGTTTTTAATATCATAAAATAAAAATTTCTTAAAATATTATTAGACTAGCCTAGGCTATTCATGGGGTTACAGCTCTTTTGCTTGATGCATTGAAATGGATTTGATGAAGTAGAACTAAATATTACAACAAGTACTATTACCCCTGATCTAACTTATTTAACTGCACAACTAGGCTATACTTATTATTTATTTTAACGTCTGTGATAGAGCCTATATATTTGATAGGCTATGCATAAAAAATGTGACTGTGATAATAGGCCTATATTGCTATTGATCAAGGTTTATTATCACACATAAAAATGTTTTGATGGCCGTTGCCCTGGCGGTAGGTTAGTTGCGCATTTGCTACCTACAAAATCCGGGCCCTGTAGGGTGGGTTATAATGCGGTAGAATAGAACGGCGATAAACTTAGGTTAGTTGCCCATTGACGCATTGAACAATAGATCTTTTGAAATTGTAAAGAGCAATGAAGCGTAGGCCTAAGAAAAAGCCAGTCTACCGAAATAGGCAAATCATTATGAATTTAATGTGTACCATGTAACCTTGTAAGTTATAGCCATCCACCTCCACCTGTCACGTAAAGCCACAATAATCAAAGAAAAAAAATCATACTACTCCAGCTGCTGAGAGTATCAAATACGTATAGGCTATGTTATAAAATGCTAAAAACTCAAATGGTAAACTAAAACTGTCATACAAAAAACTTTATACATTGTCAGCATCTTATAAAAAATAAAAATATAAAAAAACTAGTGCACTTGTTGCTCGAAATCGATCAATAGTCTAGTACCGGAAGTTATATTAAAACTAATAGTCATAATTTTCTATGAGTTTAAAAATCCAACTAAAAGCGTAGTATGCAACTAATGGATAGACTAGGCCTATTTGATGTATCGATTCGTTCGGTTAGCTAAGTTAGGCTAGGTTAACTTTACTAACCAAACTTGATATAGCCTATTGAATGAAATAATCAATTTATCGATCGATATATTTATTCTAATTATAGTGTAGGACGTAAGGCTCAAAGTGCAGTTTAATTTTAAAATAGATATATTTTAAATATCGATTATTAATCAATATTTTCAATTTGATAGTTTCAATCGATATTAGCGAAGCCCAGGAAACTGTACCCCCAATTTATTTTATAGGCTACCAGAAACTAATTTGAATTTGCTTGAAACGTTAAATTCTAATGACCATGTCCATGTCAATAAGTTACACCTTTCAATTTTGTGATGACAAAAATGGTTCTTTAAACTGTAGTAGTTATAACTTAAGATAGGCATAAATTGAAAATACACACCTAAAATACAAATTTGTATGACAATTGAAATTGACAAACAATAAATTCTCCAAAATCCAACCTCATAACCTCAAACTTACTAGGAGCCAGGAGCTAGAGCAGAAGCAGATCTAGAAGAGAAGAAGAAGAAGAAACGCAGAACAGAACAAGAAACGAGACGAAGGAAGGCTGAAATTTGGGTGGAGTAGAGGTAATTCAAAGAAGTCGCGGGAATTTTTAGAAGTGTAGAGGGTAAGCGACCGCACCGCGAAACATGTGACCACGGCGAAGCCACGCCCTTCCCCCAGATGGGAGGGGCCGGGACCTAGCTGACCGATTTGAGCTGTCGGTACCAGCTTGATATGTGATTTAAGTGAAATGGTACCTAGGTGAAAGGTTGCCTAAAAGAAAGCCTCCCGTTTTATCTATGACTAAAGACTAAACCTTTTCGCTCCCTCCCAAATACATACCCATCTAATTTCCTTTTAGAGATCCTTTTCCTTATAACTAACTATATATATATCAGAACTAATCAGTGCTCACTTTCAAAATTTATGTCTGTAAATAACAAAATGTAATGTGTCAGTATCATTTTCCTGATACTGTAAGTATAAAATTAAACAAAAAAAGAAGGCGGATAACCACAAAAAGTGAACATTGGGGCCTCATGTTTATTAATCAAGGCCATCACTATTACTATTGTGGCATTAAGAAGAGGAAAAAAACATGTTCGAATTTCATTTATTTGACTTGACCTAGACCTAGGCTAGTAGTAGAGACTTGACCTTGACATGACTTTTGTTTGATTGTTGACACTTGTTACTTTTTGTGACGTAGGCCCTAGACGAGACAATAGACAAAGAGAAAACGGGAAAACAAAACATGATGTGCTGGTGTTCCGTCCGGCTCCCAACCCAACCCCCAACGAACGGCAACGCCACGCCACGCACGGCACGACTGGACTGACACTGGTCTGATCCTTAGAATTAAATCTTCTGCAAAGTAAAGTTTTATAATAAATGAAAATGTAATACTTTGTTGTTAGGCTATTAATTATCTGCTTTTTATATGTATCTACAACATCACAACTTATCCGTAAGTGGACTTTCCTTTACAGTTATTATTTTCGCAATTAACAGTGATGTGAGTTCCGCCTTAAAAAAGTTTTAAGGGTAGTCTATTTTGTATTTTATTAAGATAGTAGGAATGGTTTAGAATAAAAGTCTAGAATGTTCAAAAATAGGTTAGTAATAGGCCTATGTAAATAGAATGCAAAGTAAGGATGAGTATCAATAGTGAATGTTTTTGTCAAACATGGATTTTTTTGGCCAAGTTTTGAGATAGGCCTATCGAAGTTTTATTACTGAAGAGTACTAAAATCAGATGAAAAACTGAACAAAAATCCATGTTTTAGTCCCAAAAAAATTAAAGTTTTTGCAATGATATTATTAGTATCCGGTAACTTACATTGGTGGTCGACACGGATGTTACTACCAATGGTAAACATCGATGGTTGACCTATTGATGCTCATCCCTCAGTGCTGGATTTGCCAATAGACTAGACCGACTAGGCCATGGCCTAGGGCCACAATCGATTGACTAAGTAATTTTTTTTCCAAGAGCATAACAAAATATTTTTTAAAACTATCAAATCGTCGTGATTTTGGCTCACGGGAGATGTTCACGATTTTGCCACGGTCGCGGGTGTCACTGATGATGTCCCCGTGATTGCAGCCCACGAGAGATATATTCACGATTCTACCGCTGTGGCCTGTGTTATTTATTTGCTCGTCGCTCAATTTTAATTTTAACTCTTGTATTATATCGACTGTATTAACTGAATTCCTTGTTATTTAGATATTTATACATTTATTTACTCAAGACTGAATACAAGATGTATTTACCAACATTTTGACCTATCTATGCATTTCATATGTAAAAAATGATGAATAAATGTCTTATGTGACTCTGATGATATTGCCCATATATTGATATTGATCTTAACTAAGTTAAGCTTAGTAAAGAAAAGCAAGTTTGGCATGTAAGTATTTTATTTCAATTTGATACATTACAGTAATACAATTGAATTGTTCTTTTTTGTACCATTAATAGGCTATATTTTATTGTGAAATTACAAACTTCACAAATCTAATTTAGTCTACAATCTTTTTAGGTACCGTAACTTAGATGGTTGAAAGCTGGTTAAGTTACTGAAGGGTCTAGATTAGGCTACTCCAGCTTAACATGATTTTCATCACTTTCTGTAAATATATTTAGCCTAAATCATGGTTTTGTTTCAGGTCTGCGTTCAGCCTAACCTATTCTTTTGAACATGTCAGACATAGACTCAGATACCTTAGGGGTTCATATCAAGAAAGAGCTTTCAGTTTATGAGGTACCGTAATTTTTAAGTTTTTTATTTACTATCAGATCAGACAATCTGTGACTATCTGGATGTATTGCTTCCACTTACAACTCTTTGGCAGATAGCTTCTAAGTTACAAATGTTGTTTGTAAGTACGGTAAATAAATTAGGTTGTCCCCAGCGAGGTCTCTTAGCAACCGATCAAGCTATGTCAAATCTGAGACCATCGTAGTTTTTCTTAGGCCTACTTCATTTACTCACTATTTTTATACCTTAAATACCTCGAGTGAGTCGTTGGTAGCGTCGCGGACTTTGGGCCCATGGCAGCGATGTCGTGGGTTCGGATCCTGGTCACTGTCACTAACTTTTATCAGTACAGTTCACCTTTGTACTATACCGGCTCACCCCTTGCTTTGCTGGATACATTCCACAAACAGATCTGTAGTCTATGTGGACAAGCAAATGCAAGGTTAAAAGAACCAACCTCTTTTTTTATAAAAAAAATATATATATTTCAAATACCGTAGCTGGATAGAAATAAAATTGACCATTTCCAAGTATGAATCTAGTTCTTTGGTTAAGTTTTTTTAGAAAGGAAGTCAAGGTGATTCTTGTTGCCAGTTGACTGATGTATACGTAGAAAATAACGTAGAAAATGTACATTTAGGGGCTTGGACAACGTCTAAAATCCCAGACTTACATAATTGCACAACAGGACTTGAAGCTGGCGTTCATCACTTTTAGTTGTGTCGGTGATTGAATTCTTCATACCTACAGAAAACGTAACCACAGAGTGTGATTCATATTTTTAGACTGAGTATCAATTTTCATTTTCTTTTTAATTAGGTCTTTTAACACCAGACTTTTCCTTTGGAATATGAAATGGCTAGAATGGAACAAGACGCTGTTTTCAGATTTCAAAACTATCTTTGCTTGGTTGCGACGGAGGAGCTGGATGGAGACCTAAAGTTATGGACTGCCCTCGTAGCTCTATAAAATGCAGTTGAACTTAATTTTGCCCTGTGTCTTCCTATACACTTGATCTTTTAATAATTTTTTTTTAAATTTTACCTTTCTTTAAAGAGAATTTTAAGTACACCTTTCATTTTATTTACATTGGGCTACATTTGAAAAGGAAGTTTTCCCCTCAAAAGTAGTATGACTCGCTTTTAGCAAATTTCACTATAGCAAAGTAGCTAAATATTCTAAAAAAACAAAGTAGGGGAATATTCCCCTAGGTGTGCAGTAAGACATAGGTCTTGAACCGATATACTTTTTCATTTTGATGTCCCAAAAGCTAAAAATATTATTCACACAGGTGTTTTATGGGGTAAAAATAAAGGTTTCTCACGTTTTACCCTTGAATCCAAAAACTTCCTAACTTCTCCCTTCATTTTGAAGAGCTAAAAAAAAACAATTATCTCGTATAGGGCCGTTTGAAGTGTTTTTGTAGGCCTACGGTTTTGGTTATGGAGCAAATAAAAAAAATGTTAGGCTACCTACAATTTTGGCCAACTTTTATACAATCCAGAGGGGGCGACCGCTACCCCCCCCCCTCGTGCATACACATTCATGTATTTTTATTGCATATGATACAGTAGTGCATACACATAAATAATAAAACATAATAACACATAAAATAATTTGTCACACTAATTTTGGACAAAGAAATGGTATAAATCTGCAATTTCGGAGACTTAGTTTGCACAAATTTTCCGAGGAGGGTACCTCCAAATCCCCTCAACCCCCGGTTCGCCCCCCCCCCTTGCGACTGTTCTAGATCCGCCACTGTGTCTGTGGCAGTTGGATTAATGTATCTAAAATTCTAAAATGCTATGGGTAGGGAGAGGAATAGGCCTAGGTCCAAAACGTAGGAAGTGGTGAAGGAAGTACCTACCGTAGTAAAGGCGAGCAGTGAAGAGTGTGGGAGCCGTTTTTTGGCAGTTGAATAAATGTATCTGCAATACTTAAATGCTATGAGGAGGGAAGGAAACAGGTCCACGACGTAGGGAGTGGTAAAGAAAATAGTAAAGGCTGGCAGTGCAGAGTGTGGGGACTGTTTGTGGCAATTAGATTAAGGTATCTGCAATCAAAAAATGCTATGAGAATGGAAAGGTCCATGACGTAGGAAGTGGTGAAGGAAGTAGTAAAGATGCTGTTAGATTAATGTATCTGCAATACTGTAATGCTATGAGAAGGGAAGGAAAATGTCCTTGACATAGGAAATGGCAAAGGAAGTAGTAAAGGCTAGCATTGCGGGGTGTGGGGACTGTTTGTGGCAATTAGATCAAAGTATCTGCAATCCTAAAATGCTATGAGAAGGGAAGGAAACAGGTCCATGACGTAGGAAATCGTGAAGGAAGTAGTAAGGCTAGCAGTGCAGAGTCTGAGAACTGTCTGTGACAATTACATTAATGTATCTACAATCCTAAAATCAAAATGGTATGGGAATGGATGGAAACATGTCCACGACAAAAGGGAGTGGTGAAGGAAGTAGGCTAGAAAAGGCAAGCAGTGTGGAGTGTGGGAATGGATTAATGTAGCCTAACTGCAATACTAAGACTGCTTTCAGAGTAAACTAACGATTGGTCCCCAGGTAGGCTACTGTTATTTAATTGGAAAATAAATATGTATTGTTTATGGAAATTTTTTTAGTATGAATCCAATTAGCCAAATTGACTTGCTTAATATGCAGGTTCGCTACGACGGGGGTATTTAATAGGCTATAATCAAAGTCTTTTTCCTTTTCAGGATGTGAAAGAATCAAAATGGAACCTCGTTAATTTGAGCATGGAAGCGAAGGAGGTCCAAATTTGGAAAAATGTAAGTAAAAATCATTTTTATATTACTGTAAGATAGAGTGTGAGATAGAGTTTCACAAACCTGAAATATAAAATACCTTAGGCTTTTAGGACTAGGCCACTTAATTTATGTGAATAACTGGAATGATTGTAAGATTGCATTTTGTGCTTGTTGGAAGGAGAGTGATAAGTCTGTAAGGTAGCCTATATTGATTTCATCCTTCCAATTTATATTTAAGTTTAAATAAAGAATTCAACTGTTTCGGTTTGTATGAGTTTCACACAATTGTTCATTGTCACTTGCCAGCCCATACTGTAGGTACCTTACCTTACCTATGTGGCCACTCAAACCTCAGTAGGTTTTTGGCCTCACCAACAACAAGTCGCTACCTCTCTATGTCTTCTATCCATTCTGTCTCCACTCTTAGCTTCCCTGTCTCCTGGACAGGACTACTGTCTCGAGGACACCTGGTCCTCGATCTTAACCCAGATAGTCCTAGTGGTTGTCTTCCCCGAGGGAGATTTTCAGACACCATTCTTAGTGTAAAATCCTTTTTTTCTCTTCACATGACCAGCCCCTCTCATTCCTAACATTTTATTCGCGCTATTATGATTATGTCTGGGTCTATAGATTTCCCTTAGCCTAGTTGTTTGTTTGTTCTAATTCTCCACACCCCGTTTTTGTTGATTGGACCGTTGATAGTTCTTTTGGTATTTTATTTTTTATACTGTAGGTAGGTGTTACTAAATGAGACTGCATTCTCAATAGGCTATATTTAAACATAACACACCTTGGGCTCATCCTAGTTTCTTACTTACCATGGATAGATAGATTTAGTATTCAGGAAACACCATAAAAATGCAATAAAATCTTGATAGAGCAAGTTAAGAAATCAAAAATATACATGCGAGAAAGATACAGCAATAACTAACAGGTTTGCATGCTAGATAAATTGAGTATAAGTTTTTTCTGGTACTTGGCCTATCTTATATTGTTTATTGAATACTAGTGTAGTGTGCTCGAAATCGAGCAATTGCTAAACTTAGCCCCTGTTTATTTCAAATCCAACACTTATAAAACTTAATAGGGGTGGATTTCAAATAAAAACAGGTGTCTACCAACCAGGAATTATGCGTGAATTTCGTATTCTACTAAGGATTTTCAATTTGCCGGGATCGTGAATAAAGATGACGTTTCCGTAACCTTGGGAGAGGATGATGATGTCAAAAATCCAAACAGATTTTTTCACGATTTTGCTGCAATTGCGCATGAGAGTTATGGCGTCTCCGTGACCGTGGGAGACCTCAATGACGTTTCTGTGACCGCAGGAGACGATGATGATGTCCAAATGGCCACAGAATATGTTAGTGATTTTCTCACGATCACACATGTGGACAATGATGTTTCCGTGACTGCGGGAAATGATGATGATGTCCAAAAACTTTTGGTTGATGATGGTGACTGAGGGAAATTATTAGAATAATAATCGCGGAAGATAATGATAAGTTTTTTTTTGTGACCGTGGGAGACAATTATAATGCTTCTGTTACCCCTGAACAATATCAGGATTTTGTCAGAAGACAGTGGTGACGTTTCCGTTACTGAGGAAGATATTTAGGATTTTGCATTTATCAAGGAAAATGATTATGGTGTTTTCTACTCTACAACAGTGTGCACTCTACTATGAGTGTTCACTGTGCTCTACAAAAGTGGTAGATGATCACGATATAACCTCGAGCTTGACCAAAAAATTTCAAAATTGTGCACTTCTAGAAAGTTTTATTTTCATATTTATTGTAACTATCTGTTACCCACGGGCTTCATCCCGTTTGACATCATAAGTATTAATTAAACTATTGATTGGTTAAGTTAACCTGAAATAAACAAAATACAGTAAAAGAAACAAATAATCACACCTGATTTTAATAAGGTCTAATAAATTGAAAGAATAACAAACAAATAAGTACAGCTGAGGTATTTTTAACATTAGGTATATGAAAAGTTCCCTTTAGAAAGGAATTACGACCTTAAAGGGCAATTTATGAAATAATAGATTTTGCGCAAGGTTTCTCGTCATGACGAACATTTTAAGTATATGTTTATGAGTGTGTGACTTATAGTTTTCTCAAAAGTTCATGGGTACTTTTGGCTTTTGGCTTTATACAGGGTGAATCTTCTAAGCTGTCCTAAACAGATTACAGACGACGGGCTTGACATACAGAGATGAAACAAAACTTTTCCCCACTAATTCATACCCAAGAAACAACGTAAAAATATTTATACCATTTTTAAAATACAGGGTGATCAAGAAACTGGGGGTCATGGGTTCGAATCTCAGAGTTTTCAAGTGAAAACAGAACTCATTTATCTTTGTCCGTTTCAAAATGGCGGCCATTTTTATAGAAAATATTGATACTTACAGAATACCCTGTATCTTGAAAACCACTAAACTTATTTTCGTTCTGTTTGAAAATTTTTAATCCTCGTAGGTTCAGCTTTAATTTGATATGCAACAAGTCAACATTTTAAAACTAAATATTTTTTCTATGATTTTAATTTTTTTTTATTAGTAGCCTTGTAAATGAAAATTTTTAAAAGGCAACATATGTAAAATTGTGTATAATTTTTAAGGTCTTGTAAAAACAAACAACTTTTAAATTTAAACCTACCGTCTATCTTTGGTCGTTTTCTAGTAATTAACCAAAAACTCCAATTGCCCATAAAACCCATGTTAAACGTGCAGTACTGAAGATTAGTGGATGCAGATACACTATTCCCATGATACTGTGTGTTTAACATGAGTTTTATATGGGTAATTGGAGTTTTGGGTTAATTAATAGAAAACGACCAATTTAGGTTTAAATTTAAAAGTTGTTTGTTTTTACAAGACCCTAAAAATGATACACAATTTTACATATGTTGCCTTTTAAAAATTTTAATTTACAAGGCTACCGACTTTAAAAAAAGTTAAAATCATAGAAAAAATATTTAGTTTTAAAAATGTTGACTTGTTGTATATCAAATTAAAGCTGAACCTACGAGGATTAAGAATTTTCAAACAGAACGAAAAAAAGTTTAGTGGTTGTCAAGATACAGGGTATTCTGTAAGTATCAATATTTTCTATAAAAATGGCCGCCATTTTGAAACGGACAAAGATAAATGAGTTCTGTTTTCACTAAATTGTTTTTCTAGTCTAGAGCTTTAAAATTATGCATAACATGACATATGTTTACATTTGAAAACTCTGAGATTCGAACCCATGACCCCCAGTTTCTTGAACACCCTGTATTTTTAAAATGGTAAAAATATTTTTACGTTGTTCCTTGGGTATGAATTAGTGGGGAAAAGTTTTGTTTCATCTCTGTATGTCAAGCCGTTCGTCTATAATCTGTTTAAGACAGCTTAGAAGACTCACCCTGTATAAAGATATCTTCATTTACCTTAAATGTAGTATTTATTTAATGTGTTAAGAAGGGTTTAAAACATAAATTGGCTATGTGAGATTTTTGTAATTTCTGCATTGATTATATTTCTGTAGGCCACTTGAAAAAAAACCATAACTCCAAAATTACATAGGCTACTACTATATGAAAGTACATGAAGCCAGGGGTTGGTTTGATAATCCTTAAAGAAAATTTGGTGAAATTAAAATTATCAGTATTGAGAATCTATTTTTTTAGGTGTCGAAACGGAGATTTGATAAATTTTGGTATCAATATTTTTAAGAAGTTATTGATAAATTGCAGGTTTAAGAAATAGTTTTTAATATTATGACTAAAAGAAATGAAAGAGAATTAAATGGTTTTTCAAATTTAGTCCATTCAAATAAATTCCTAGGTATTTATCTAGATGAAAATATTAACTGGAGGGTGCATCTAAATGTTCATGTTATACAGAAAAAAATTATATCTGCTTCCTCTGTCTTTGTCCACTTGAGAGAATGTGTCACCATTGAAGTACCTAAATAAAATTTATCATGTGTATGTAGAAACCCTCTTGAGGTATAAGTGTGATTTTGTGGGTATAGGCAACTGATGTAAAAACTATTTTCAGACTTCAAAAAAGAACCATCCGAATTATGACTAATTCCCACCCCAGAAGTCCTTGTAAATCACATTTTAAATATTTAAAAATCCAAACACTCACAGGACTATACATATATGCATTATTAAATTACATACCCAATACAAAAAATAACCTCCTGGATTCATTCAAATTCACACACAATTATAGTACAAGAAATTAAACAATTTTTAGATTACCAAATCACCGTTTGACCTTATTTGAAAAAAGTCCTTTGTACGCAGGATTAAAAATGTATAACAAACTACCGGTATAGGCCTATATAAAAAATGAGTTCAAATTAAGTTTCAAGAAACATTGAAAAATGAACTCCTTGAACGTGCTTTTTATAAAATAGAAGAAATTTCTAACCATCCCTTGAGGTTATTTGTTTGATTCTCATTTTCTTAAACTATTAAATTTATTTGGCTAGGTTTTTTTTTTCTGTTACTTTGAACTTTGTATTTTTCTAGTCTAGGCTCAATTTTGACAATGTGCCTGTTCTATTTGTTATCACATCTAAAAGAATTTAATGTGCAGATGTATGTATGTATTTAATCAGAAATATATAAACATTTCATAGGGCCTACTTGTGTCAGGAAATATTAAAGTAATTATATATTTTGTTTCTTTAACTGATAATGCTTTTTCCGATAACTAAAACAGGAAACTGTGTGATAGCGCTAAAACAGCATTGCGGGAGCAAACGCATTACCTTTAACTTAACATTAACTTAACTTAACGCATTAACTTTGGAATGCATTAGTATGAAAAGTACGACCTGAACTACCTGGAAGTACTCGTTAATATTTTCTAGTTGGCCTCGTGGACACCCTGATAAATAACCCTTCAGCAATGATTAATTCATTAGTTCCGACTTGTTAAATATTAAGTAACTTCTGAAAGTACTCCCTCTGTTAATTAAACCTCTCCATAAATAATATTTATTGTTAATGTTTCAAATTAATTTTGGAGATGTCCTTATTTATGTGTTTTATAAAATAGTTTACGCTACAATATTAAACAAATATCACACACAGACCCTAATAGCACCTCCTCCATGATGATCAAAACAGGGACTGGCAAATCCAAATGGGAAAGTAGGTTTTGATACTGTATATATTATCGTAGTGTCTGAACATTCGAGCCTTATTCAAACTGATTCGGACACACTGAGCAAATCAGATCGTAGGCTACAAAATAATGTGAGCATTTTCACGCGGCTTAAAAATTCAAAGGCAGTACAATTTATTGATCCCTCTGATATGTTTGGATTCCTTATCAACATTACCACTGAATTAGCTTTTTCTATTTGCGATGTTGTGGCTGCTTACTTACAACTTACATTGCATTTCAGTTTTGAAAAATAATGCATCTCAAAATCTGCATATGTTGATCAAGGGTCTAAGACTAATGAGATTCTGGATCTCTGATAGTTAGTCCAGTGCAGCGTTCATCATACAAACGTTCACTACAAAGAGCAAAGTGGAAGATCTATTCTAGCGTTGTGACTGCTGAAAAAATCAATGTTGAAATCCGTAAAACTCGAAAAATCTCTAAAACAGAACCCGCTATGGGTTTTCCACAGACAAAGTTTGTTGCACAAGATCATAACCGAAAAGCTTGGTTACCACAAGTTTTGGACAAGATGGGTTTGCAAAAATCTTGACAGAGAGTCACATAAATCAGCAAATAATGGCTGCAGCACTAACTTTTCTGGATGCTTACGTTAAAGATGGTGACTCACTACTCGATCACATCGTTACTGGTGATGAAACATGGGTCAAATGTGTGAACTACGAGACAAAATTGCAGTCAATGCAGTGGAGGCATTCAAATTCCCCCCAACCCAAGAAATGCATGCAAATAATGTCGGCTATCAAAGTCATGGCATCTGTTTTTTGGGATTGGGAAGGTGTAATTTTTGTGGACTTTCTGGAAAGAGGCACTACGATAAACTCTCATAGGTTTTACATTTTGCCAAACTCAGCAAAACCTTAGACCAGCGATACAAAACAAGCGCCTAGGGGAAAGTTAAGCTAAAACATCCTGTTGATTCACAACAACACCCAGCCCCACAAGGCAAATGTCACTCGCCATGTTCTTGAATATTTTAAGTGCTAGTTGTTTCCTCATCCGCTGTACAGTCCCGACCTGGTTCCGAGTGACTTTCACTTATTCCCAGCAATGAAGAAGTGACTGGCTATGCAGCGTTTTGATGACGAAGCACATCTACAAGAAGAAGTAACCAAGCTGTTAAAGACGCAGGCGGCAAATTCTACAATGAAGGATTTTCTAAGCTCATTTGTTGCTACGATAAGTGCCTTAATTTGAAATGTGATTATGTTGAAAAGTAGAATTTAAGTGTGGCTTTCAATTGTATATAATACAATATTTTTCCAAGACTTTGCTTATCCTTAATTCCAAAACGTAATCTATTTTTTTGATAGCCCTAGTATTTATAAATTTTAAAATGTTAATCAGTTCCCCAAGGTAGCTCTAAAGTTGATTACTGTTGCAGGAAATATCCACAATCAAAGATTTAAAGATCAAATCGAAAACGGAAATAAACAATGACGAAACACCAAGCACTGTTGAAAGTAAATCAAAACTTTTTGTGAAAATCAAACGTAACAATATACTGGAACAAGCTCTCAAGGAGGAGATGAAGAATTTGTCTCAGGTAAATTGTTTTGATTCTTAATTTTTAAATAGGGTTAGCAAAGTTAGTGAATGAATTGTTTTTGTTTTTTACTATTAATATTATACTTCCTGTTGCCTTGGTTACATTCTACTTCGCTGGATCCGGTCAGTCACACAGGATTGACTCACAAACACGTTTTTATTTGTACCCTGATAAGCAATGCTACTAGCTCATCAAGCCCTGGTTTCATACGATACATAGGGATATCGTATTTCTGTACTGTTTCCAAGTTTTGCACACATAGCCTAATGTAGCCTATGTTTTTAAAACCCATGGATTCATACCATGGTTTCTATTTTTTTTAGTTTTGTAAAGCATCTGTTCCTGATACATAAATATACTAGCAGTTACCCGGCGCGTGTTGCTGCGCTAACAAAATACATCTGTCTGTGTGAAAAGCATGTTTTTCTACAGTTAAACTGACGATAGTCAGGGATTGCCCTAGTGCCTTATAATGGTGATTGCGAAAGCAAGACACTAAGGAAATTGTAGTTGCTTAAATTCAGAGGGTAATTCGGATGAAATCATTAGTACTCTAATGATTAAGACTATTTCTCCCTTAAACCTACCACGGATAATTTTTGTTTTAATCAATTTTGACGTCATTTTTTTTTTTAAACCGTTAGTCTGGTAATGTCGTACAGCTTAAGTGGATTTAAGATTCGCATTAGTATTATTGGAGTTCCTTCTTTTAATGACAGTAATGTGGTGGGTTGATGACAAATTGAGAGGCATTTGAATACCCGAGATAGCACGCACGATTATTATTCACTTAAAAATTTATGTTAGACTAGCTGAACCCGGCAGACGTTGTCTTGCCTTTGACTATTTATAATTTAAGTACCGTGACGTTTAATTGTCTTATTGTATATGAAGTGCTTATAACTAAATTAAAATACGTACGACAACTAATGAAACACATATAGTACAAAGGATAACCGATTCTTTATTATTGCTCTTATATTAAAGCTAGTGGGTAGACAATATTTTTGGTCTTTCTATTCGGCTCAAACACGTCCTGGTTGAAGTTCGTTCGCTACGCTCACTCACCTTTAGGTTGGAGCTCGTTCGCTGCGCTCACTTGCCTTCAGGTTAGCTCGTTCGCTACGCTAACTCGCCTCCAGGTTGAAGTTCGTTCGCTACGCTCACTCACCTTTTGGTTGCAAATTAGCTGTTGTCATAAATGTAAAAGAAATAATAGTGCTGCACCCTGTTGGTAATCCTTGTAATTTTAATGCTATTGAACATCATAGAACAGAACCAACTTGTTTAATTGAAACAGCTGTTAAGATTCATTAATTCCATTTCTCATAAGGTTAACATGGGAAACTCCAGAGCCACTGGGGCGGCGCCGATTGGACGGATCACGAAATTAATGGTGTATAAACCTATTCCATGAAATTCTACACGTATGTACCAAGTTTCGTGGCAATCGGTTCAGCGGTGTCTGAGTTTATCACTGCCAAACAAATATATATATATACAAACATCCTCTTTTATACTTATAGATTGTGTGGGTATAGAACGAAAGATAAAAATATTAAGGCATTGTCATCCCTTTTATTGTTTATAATACTTTTGATAAAGGTTTTTATGTTTTTAATATTTAACACTGGAGAATTTAAACGGTTTTGAGTGCACAGGTGTGCTCCGATTGGGGTTTAATACATTTGGACTCTTTCAAAAGTAAAATAGTTTTTTGTGCTGCACTCTGTAGAAACACTGTGGCACTATTTCAAATCATGACTAATGCTAATACAGAATGTTGTGATTATTCAAACCTACAAAACAGTTGGTGAAAGTAAACATCTGCTTTTAAATTATATTTATTTGTAAACATTGTAGATAAAAAAGTCCGTCTGACATTGGCCCACTTAAAACCCCCTGGGGCAGAGCCCTTTTGACGGATCTGCACCAAACTTTACTCAAACCATCCTTGAAAGGTGCTTAATAATGCCTGAAAGTTTCATTACAATCTGTGGAGCGGTTTTGGAGTCAATAACGTATATACATATATACACACATACATACAGCTAGTCTGGGCACGCGGACCCTTGTGTACTAGCCGTGCTGAGAGTAACGGCTCGCTCACCCCCACAGCATCGCTGAACAACCCTAGAGAGCCGTGTAAGCCAGATGTTTTTGGAAATGAGCAATAAACACTCCCCTCTACACCCCCCGCTCTAGCGCGGCCGTGCGCCCAGAATAGCTGCGACTACTGTACATAGTTCCTCTTTTATAGATATCGATATAATAGGCCTATATATAACACGTTTTTATTTGTACCCTGATAAGCAATGCTACTAGCTCATCAAGCCCTGGTTTCGTACGATACATAGGGATGCCCATATTATAGGAAATTCAACATTGATAAACTGAGTATCCAAGTAAAAATTCTTTGTCAAGATAATATTTTAAACACAGTGATACTCTAATTAAATAATCCCATAATAGCAAAATTGAGAAAATATTAATGAAAATGAATATATAAATGAATCAGTAAAGACAAAATTATGTAACAAGTTTTATAATATATCGTATTTTATTTATTTATTTGCATATTTTTATTTTATTTTTTTGTTTACTTTGAAAATGGCCCTAGAGCTGAAACTAGTCACTAAATATCTGATATTTAAAAATTAATTTGGTAATATTAATATTTTTTAGCGAATTTCCCATATAGGGAATAAGCTATTACCGTAGTACTCATGGTAAGACCTGGACCCGGGACCGATTTTTTTCCCGTTTTGAGGTCCCTAGAGGCCAAAAACACCATCCGTTCAAATTCATATATATATATATATTTATATATATATATATATATTTATATATGTGTCCGTTAGCGCGATAACTCGAGCAAAAACGATCCGATTTTGATGAAATTCGGTACAAACAAGTAAACCTACGTTTATTCGAACGAGTTCGCGAACCAGCATGATCGGACCGTGGGATCGGGGGTTTATGGGGGGTTTTATGGGGTAAAAATGGGTTTTTCCCATTTTTGACTCAAAATACATAAAATTTTGCAATTTCTTTCTAAACTATTTTGTAGAGCTTAAAAAAAAAAAATAATTTAGTATATTGAAGCGTTATAATGCACCTAATCGTTACGGAGAAAATTCCAAAAAATTGTAAATTTAAAATACCCATGTTATTCTTATGGAGAATAAGTAAACTGTTGTAGTTTGCTTGTTTATTAACATATTTTGCCCAAATTTGAAAAATGTTTTTATTTCTTACTAACTATTAACATTTTACATAAAAAAAACACTTTTACCCTCCCTGTTGCAGCAAACCTAAGTATGTGTTAAACTGATTCTATTTAAATAGGCTAAATCCAATCAGGCAAATGGAAATTCGCTTAGTCTGCAGGTTTGCTGCGGCGGGGGTATTTATACTTGTTTACTTACTTGTATACTTGTGTCCTTAATTATTGACCGACGATGTCGGATAGATTGCGTCAGAGGAACGTTAACATACTATTTACATATATAAAAAAAATCTAATACAGTAGACCCCCTCTTAACCGACCTCGTATTAACCGATAATCGGATTATCCTCCTTCGATCGTAAAATAATACAGTTTGTTTTAACCGACCTTGCTTTGAGAGCAGCTCGTTTTAACCGCCGCTTTCTAGGAATCTCGGCATTTCCGCTCCCACGCTGGGCGATGAGAACCGAACCATACGCTTATCTCCACAGGATATGACTAAGAATAAGTTATTTTGTGTTGATCACAAAAAATATAGCACAGCCTATTGTCAGTTTGTCATCATTGTTCGTAGCTCAAGCGCATCTGATCTTTTTGTTATCTGTGCGGCAAATTTATAACATCATAAAGTGTGTTACGATTTTGAGAACTGATTATCTTATCGCTGGAGTAAACAAACAACGCAACTTGTAGGGAGGGCAGGAAGGGGGGTTAACAACTCCAAGGTCAAGATAGTTTTTGTGCCTCGAGCCTCCAATGAGAGGCTATAAATAAACGTCCTGTCTTGTAACAAAATGGTTGCTTGTATCTTCAATTTTGACAAAAGGTTCTGTACCGTATTACGAAGGATTTGTGAAGCATCAATTAATAAATTACAGTACCAAAGTTATTAAAATATGAATTTTATTGACTCTTGCCAGGTATTATAATATATTCCACTGAAAGTAGGCCTATTTGACTTAACCGTGTTTTGTGTTTATTTGTGACTTTTCTATCAATAGGAAAAAGGAGATAAGAGTAGTTTATTTGATAAATAATGCAGTTATGATTTCAAAATAATGATTATATAATTCCAAATGAATAGCACTTCATTATGTTATTATTTTAGGGATTGTCCGTTTTATCCGACCTTTTGAGTTATCCGACCTAGGTCCGGTCCCATTAGGGTCGGTTAAGAGCGGGTCTACTGTATTTATAAACTTCTTACAGAAACCCTTAAACTAATTTTTAGTGGGCTGTGGCGATTTTATACCTAAACTAATGGAGTGCTGTTTCAACTGACTTTCAGAGGTACTTCCTTTAATTCCTCTAATGAGTAGAGGGGTCTATTTACCAGATGGCCCTGCAGTACTGCTCTGAACTTCGCTCTGTCCAACTCTCCACTCTTTTGGGCAGTGTGTTAAAGATTTTAATTGCTGAGCGAGTGTAGCTTTTGATAGAGTGCCTAAGCCTACACCGCGGCAGATCGAGCTGTTGGGCCTTCCGAGTGTTATAGCTATGCTGGCTTTCCCTCATTTCAAACCGGTGGAGGTTATCTTTTAGGAGTAGAAGAATGCTCAGAAAATATTGGCTGTGCACTGTTAGAATTCCTAACTCTATGAAGAGGGGCCTGCAATGTTCGTCGTTCGGTTCTGAGAATGTAATAATTCTTAATGCCTTCTTCTATAAGAGGAGGATGTCCTGAGTTAATGGTGCGTGTCCCCACATCGCTATGCCATAGGTGACATGGCTATGAAACAGAGCGTGATACACATTCAGTAGATAGGGC